TCTTTAGTCAACAAGTTGTGGAATTCACTACCAGTAGATGTAGTGATGGTCACAGACGTAGACAGACATAAATGCACTGTGCAAAGTGTGGGGCATGTATTCATGCCACAGCCACTATTTTTAGGAAGGAAGCCTGAAGAATTGAGTCAAATTGAGGTGACAACAGATGAAGTTCTAGACCTACTGGGAAATTAAAAACCAATAAATCTCCACATTCTCATAGCATACACCTGACAGTTCTGAGGGAACTCAAATGGAAGACTGTTGATCTATTAACCCGTATATGTAACTTATCACTAAATTAGAGAGTAGAGAGTAGCAAATGTTATAGTGATTTTTAAAAAGGGGTCCAGAGGGGAACCAGGAAATCACAGTCCAGTCAGCCTAATGTCTGTCCCAGACAAATTAGTAGAAACGGTCATCAAAGACAGAATTATTAGGCACATAGAGGAACAAAGTCTGCTGAGGAAAACCAGCATGGCTTCTGCAAAGAGAAGTCCTGTCTCACCAACCTTTTCAAGTTCTTTGAGAAAGTGAACAAGCATGTAGTCAATGGTGGCTGAGTAGATATTATACACTTAGACTTTCAAAAAACTTTTGACAAGGCACCTCACCAAAGATGCCTGAATAAACTCAGGAGTAAATACAGCAGTACTATGAATTTATAGCTGGATCATATGCTGAACAATATGTTGCAGAAATAAAATTTATGTGTTTCTGTAAAAGGCTCATACTACTGTTTATAATATTTTTGCTGATACTGTTGCTTTGTACCAAAATAAATGTGTTCAATATACTTCCCAATCCAGACTGAAAATTGTCTAACTGTCATTGTTCCCGTCGGTATTCTTGCAGGCCACATTAATAATCTCTGCAATGTGGTATTTTAGAGTCTTTGGTACAAAGTTGTTAGTGGCTTGCATTTAACACCAGCAGTGACTGCAGTTCAAACCTTTTCACACAAAAGGGTTCTGGTAGGCTAAGGGCTTTTTTTACTGTGGTAATATAGTATGCCACGTCTCCTTAGATCTGCTGCTCTTGTTCAAGTATTTATTTCTTTAATTTTGTCCTTGACTTCAGGTAGTGAGGGTAATCAGCTAGTGAACAAATCAAGGTCAATAAGAGGAATAAATCGGTTTGTAAGCTAAACTTGAATTCTGATTAGAATTATCAACATTTAAAATGCTCCTCCAATTATTGGCATCAAAATTAGGATATTTCAGAAGAAAAACATTTAGATAGGACATTAAGGCTATATTGCATGCTCTCACTAGTAATGGTGAAATTATATCATGAAACAACAACTAGAATAACTAGATCACAGGTTGTATTACCATGGCTTCTTTTTTAAACCAAATAAAATGCTTTAAAACAGAACAAATAAGAAAAGGATATGTATGTACTGAAAAATGTAACAGAATTTGAGGAAATATTAATTTCTAGTAATCACAGGATTTTTTTCTTGCTTTTGCAATTGTTAGTAATCGAGAGAAAAGCTTTGTTGTGGAATGGAGAAAGGTTTTAGGATATGCTGTGAATCTTAATATTTGGAAATTCTACTATCGAAAGGGTCGACTTTTTCAGTTAACCCAGGTGTCAGAGAGAACACTGTTATGATGGTGAATCAGTGGCACTTATCACACAAACTGACGATAATGTATAATTGTTCTGCAACTTATTTGTATTGTGGTGAAACCAATGCAGTTTTTCTCACGTGGTACAAGTGTCCCAGGGCAAAGACTTTCTGGAAGATGGTATCAGATTGTTTAATGTATGGAATTGGAAATTTAATTCCACCAGCTGCAGAGATGTTTCTCCTGAATTACATAGGAAGAATCCCAAGTAAAAACAGATAATTTCTGTTGTATGCATTCTCTGCAGCATGTATTGTTTTTGCCCATCACTCTATTGGAAGTAACCCCAATGCTGGGGGAAATGTCACTTGGAATGGATTGAGAACAACTGGAAAAAGAAACCTTATCCAAATAGACAAGAGTGGCTAGACAAATTTAAAGAATGTTTTTGTATGGTCAGATGGACATACTTTTGAAAGTTAAAAGCTTCATTGGCATAGCTACTGGAATAAAGTTATGGCAATATTGGTTCTATATTACATATCGTTTGATTAGGATTTTATGTTACATGTTTTTGGTTTTTTCTATATTTTCATATTTGATGAAAACAGATTAGTAAAAAAAATTAGCAGAGTGCAACGGTTAGCTAATTATGAGACAAAGGTATAAAATGTTCTAGGAACAGCAATTGGTGAGGGTGTTTCAACTGTAATGGATGAGTGATCCTTTGACTATTTTTTTTTTTTTGAACAAAAATGCTTTTAAACAGATTAAAGATGTAAAATTTCCAGAAGCCTTGAAGCTATGGGGGGGGGGGAGCTTCCTGGGGAAAATGTTGGAGAACAATTGAAATACATGCAATACTTATTTCTGTGTCAAACCTAAGGATGAAAGGTTGCCAAGGGGACCAAATAGTACAATGGGATAAACAGGAGGAAAGGAGTCCATGGACAGATGAGGTGAGGAGGGCTGGGTGGCTGGAAGACTTGCTGGTGGAGATTGGGAAAGGAAGATGCTAAGAGGAGGAGAAGAAGACAGGTAAATGTTGAGGGTCTATTCGGGAAGGGAAGCAGAAATGGAGAGAGAAAAAGCATACTGTGACTGTTTTGACAAGGAGGTCCAGTGATTTCAGTGTCAGCAATGATGGAAGAAGGTTTGAAAGCAAAACCAACCTTGAGAATGGAGGATGTGGTATGCTCTTTGGGTGTAGTGTGAAGCAGGATGCTTGACTAGATGGACCTCTAGTCTGATCCATATGACCTTAATGTGAAAGAGAGACAATGTAAAACTGAGTGAGTGACCCAACTTGCTGAAAGAATGGACTACATAAAGAGGTGGAAACACTCTTTGTGCATTAAGCAGTTATGTAAATTATGCTTCCTATACCCTTAAGGTCTCTCATTCTGAGATGGTTGATGCAGAGAGACTGATCCTGCTGTAACTCTTATCCTGTAATGTTTGGAATTACGGGTAGCAGCCTGTTCCAAAAGAGACGGGAGTGGTGAATCAAGGAACAATCATACATGTCATCTTTTGCCTCTAGGGTTAGCAACTGGGGAGAGCAGACAACACCATACAGGTGGTTGTATTTGGTGCAGGTCTACATGTTGCTATCACTTAATTCCAAGCCATCATCAACCTGAACACTAAAACTAGGCTAGATTAAATGTTGAATAAAACTGATATTGCTCCAGAAATTGGAGATCCTGCGGGCAAACCTCCAACCACTGGCATAGTGCACTAAGGCCAAGGAAGGCTATATTTAGTGCTGTATTTCATTAACTCATGTAAACTGTATATATTGTCGGTTAAACAAAAACATGCCCTAAATTGTAACATCCAGTGCAATTCTATGGAGAGTTATTCTAAAATGCACTGAAATCAACAGGCTTAGGCTCATATAACTCTGTATAGGATTGCACTAATCATCTACTACCCTGTTTCCCCGAAAATAAGCCCTACCCCAAAAATAAGCCCTAGCAGGATTTCTATGCATTTGTGGTATAAGCCCTAGTGTGTCTTCTTGAGAAAAAATAAATATAAGACAGTGTCTTATTTTCGAGGAAACACGGTAACTTCAAGTCTCCCACAAAGCCTGTAGTTTTCTGTCCCACCATCAGCTCCCCTTCCATGGCTAAAATGCATGAATATGAACCAAAAAGGGCTAAGCTAAACCATATATATATATAAAAGTACAAATATTTATTAAGGTGTACACATGTTAAAATTTTCCTGATTAAAAATTACTTTGTCTAAAATCAGACTATAAAAGCTTATCCTCTATACATACATATGATGGGTAAATACTTTACAACTGAAGACCAAACGTGTTTTGGCCCCTAAGGGCCTTCCTTAGTGGTCACTATTATCTATATATTCTAGACACACATTCAAAGACCTGTTACAGAGTTTTCGTACACATATAATTTAACCAGATGCTGTTTCCTTGTGTACTTATAATTGGACTCCTGGTATTAGTGATGGGCCATAGGTATAGCCATATCACCTCCACAACTTATTCTGGTAACAGCGATTTTGTAGGTCTGAATGTGTGTCACTCCATCAAGAATTTTCACCTTGATGGAGTGACACACATTCAGACCTACAAAATCACTGTTACAAGAATAAGTTGTGGAGGTGATATGGCTAGTCATATCCTGGGTTGAGTTTCCCCCTCCCCTTTTTCCCCCAGTTTTTGTTAAAATGCATGAATGTCATAGCAAATTTTCTAACCCAACACTGCCACCAACACCTACGTGGTTCTACCTAAAAATTGGTGTACTGGCTCATTTCAGGATCTACAATCTTAGGTTCGAGTCTAAATTAGAGACCAACAAGATTTTGGGGGTATGAGCATTCAAGAGTCAAAGCTCCCTCCCTGGTCTCCCAAATTCTGCAGCATCTACCAGCTACAATAAATTTTGGTTACATGTATACTTTTGTGCCTTCCTTGAAGGAAGAAACAGCCAGGGAGGATAGTTGCTCTAGGTGCTGGTCAGATACTTTCCTTCTTCGTGTGTCAATCACAAAACCCGACAGTGATCTGCAGCATGCAAAAACAGTTTCTTCAGACATGAGCCCTGATAATTCATCAAATCATTATATTTCAACTAAACTAATATAGTTCAGTAAATAACATTCTTAACTTTAGAACTTGGACGATGGTTTTCATACTTGCTCTATGATAGAAGATCTTTGGGGAAGTCGCTCATTCTCATTTCCACTTTACAAATAGGTGTTTTGGGGTAATAATGACCTACCTCATTGGGTTGCTGACCTGGCACATGCATTTTCAACTGCTTGGCTTGCTTAAAAGTATTACATAAGAACTGCGAAAAGCCAAGCTGGCACCACTGGGAGCCATAACATTCACGTCCAAATTCAATGAACAAACAAAAAGCAACTGCTTTTGAAATTATATCCTACCTGTTCGGTAGACAAAATTGCCTTCAGTCTCAGAGGATGATGGAGACACCAGTTCCTCTTCAAATTCGTTGGAGCTAAATGAACCCGAGTGGTTCCTCTGCCTTGTTTTTTCCATCATGGCTGCATTTGTGGCCATGACATGCCTCAATGAGTCATTCAGGTAACGATTCAACAAGCTGCTTTTGTATTTGGGGGGCGATACATAATCCTCATTGGCGCTCCCTTCTGGTCTAACTCCAGATTTTATTACTGAGCTTTCAGTTTTAATTACAGTGTGATGAACTGGTGTGTTGTATCCCCCTTCGTTCATATGGCTTCTTGGAGGATTTTCACCATCTGAAGAAAGAAGACCCATCAAGAGGGAGTATTACCTAAGTGTCTTTTTTATTTAAGAAGTATTCATAATTAAACCTTTGTAGGAAAAATTAGATCAGACTAGATTATCATAATGGCCTTTTCTAAAATATATTTAGCTTGTTTGCTAATGGTGTATTTTTTCCTGTTCAAAAATAGTTTGCAACCCCATCATTTTTTCCTCTTCAAATACAGAGAGGGAGAATTATTCTTAGTCTCTTTTCTGTTCTTCAATATGAAGCGGACAAAATGATTTACAGACAACATATGTTTGGGATGCTGAACTGTTCTAGCAGATAAGTCTGCCATTTCATAAACAGTTTACTCAAATATACTGTGTGGTGTGCAGTTTGATTTCAGTGGCTGAGGTCCAAAGAACAGCGCAACTGGTTCCACATGCTCAAGGGTGTTTGGAGCTTATATTTCTCCAACAGCAGCCCTCAACTCCACACCATGCCACATGACAACCCACATTTGAAACTAAGGGAACTTTTAAATGCACTTTCTCTGCTGGCACAAAGTCTGCTGTTCAAAGACAAAAATCCCCCTGGACATGCCCAAGACTTTGGGCATGCTCAGAGATGCTTGTTGGAATCGCAACCAGTGATTCTCAAAGTGTTGGCTGGAACCCAACAATTCAAGGCAGACATCAGCATTGTCAGAATGACTGCAGTCTACACCGAAAAATAGCCTAGCACAAGAAACTAAATGGACCCAGTTCCTGGGTGAGTGGACAATATGAGAACTTGAGCAATACAGATAACATAGTCTGTGGTGACCTTGCTGTGATTTTTATCTAATGTGCAGAATGATGAATTCTTAGACCAGGAACTCTTGTGGCCTACAGGGATCACAAGATGGGTCAGGTACATCTAATGCTTGTCAAAAGCCCCATGTAAATGTACCTAGAATTTTTGTGGTTGTACATAAGTGAGTGTAAGAGTATTACAGTGCAGTCCTAAGAGTTATACCACCGTTCTAAGCCTATTCACTTCAATGGACTAAAAACCATGTAATTCTATTTAGCACTGCACTGTCAGGGAACACGGCTTGGTATAAAATTCAGCATGCATCAGTGACAATTTCCCCAGATTAGCCATTTGCAATAACTAGTAATTCAACTGACTTTGTATGGAAACGTTACAAAAATATTAAACAAACCTTCTGAACATGAATCATCGCTGCTTACACTAAGTCTTTCAGCATTTCCTTGAACATACTTGTTGTATAGCTTTATCCGTAAAGCCCAGCTGAGGTCTGGCTGCCGGACAGTATTTTTAAGTCGACGCCTTGCATTGGCAAACCAGTTTGATACCTAAATAAAAACAAATGCATCAGTTTTCCATACTTTCCACACAAAGGAGAAAAAGCACTCAGATCTTTCGGGCAGGGAACACAGAAGAGAATCAAGCAACCTGTTCGTTCTTCTTTTTACATGCATTACACTTGCATCAGGAAAGCCAAATATTGCAGCTTCATTTTATAGTAACTTGGAGAAGAGGATCCAACTTGAGGGGAAATAAGCAGAAACCATCCCCCTCCCCTCTTGCACAAGCTCTTCCCATGCAGTATTGCAGCTTCATTTTATAGTAACTTGGGAGAAGAGGATCCAACCTGAGGGGAAATAGGCAGAAACCATCCCGCTCCCCTCTTGCACAAGCTCTTCCCATGCGGCAGAGGAAGAGGCTATTTCTTGCAATCCCCCCCTTCTTGATGCAACCCAGCAGATCACTTCGCATTCACTTCCTGAGGCTCCACCAATTTTCTGTAGTAAGTGAAAGGCCCCAGATGCCTGGGAATCAAGTTCCCAGCAAGGAACGCATATACACATGTGGATCAGGCAGACACAGGGAGGACCCAGAGGAAAATGAAACTTGTTAGCTGCCATTTTAGGACTTTGGTGGGCTAGTTCAGCATTGATCCCCGCGACCACCAAGGAAGACCAGGGTTACTATGCAGGGGCAGGCAAGGGGAAACCATCTCTGTTCATCTCTTGCCTTGAAAACCCCATAAAAGGAATATGTGTGTGTGTGTGTGTGTGTGTGTGTGTGTGTGTGTGTTCTCAGAGGGAACTGAACACATGGAGCTGCCTTATGGCCAACCAGACCACTGGTCTATCAAGGTCAATACTGTGTACTCAGACTGGCAGTGGCTCTCCAGGGTCTTTGGTTGGGAAAGGTCTTTCACACCATCTGCTATCTGATCCTTTTAACTGGAGATACCAGGCACTGAAGCTGGGACCTGTTGTGTGCAAAGCAGGCACGCCACAGCCCCTCTCCAAAAATACACAAACTTAAGTGCCTTATGTCATGCCTTTGGTCTGTTGAAGTCAGTGCAGTACCTGCTCAGACTGCTCAGACTGGGAACAGCTTTCCGGGGTCAGGGACAGAATCTAGGCCTTCTGTATGCAACACAGATGCTCTAGTACGAAGCCACAGCCCCTTCCCTGTGCTTGCTTAGACTCGGGAGACGGAGAATAGAAAGGTGATGTAGTTTTCCTGGTCCTTGGTGGTGTTGCTTTTCACATTCTGCGCTCTCCTTCCTTGTTTTTGTTTTTGACTCTGTACAAGACAGCTTCATCCATTCAGCTTCCCAGCTGAATACTTTGATGGTTTCAGTAAATTGCCAAAGAGCAGCATGGAAGCATACCTTGGCATTATTAGACTGCATTGTGCAACAACAGAATGTGGGGTTTTATCCATATAACACTTTATATGAGCAATAAAACTTGTATGATTTATAGGTATGTGCTACTATTCTGATGAAAAGGTCAGTAGCAAACGCGATGTATTCAGCTTTTCCATGTCAACTGCAAACATTATTCATCTTATTATGAATGATCCCTATTTAAAATAATCCAGAAGGCAGAGAAAATCCAGCTCTTAATGATGAAATAAGATTGTTAAAACAAAGGAATGTATCCCCCAAACACTTGTATTCTGGGTCCTCCTTTACCCTCATGGAAACAAATACAGAATCCTTATACATAAATATAGAACTCGGACAGGGTTTTTTTTTGGGGGGGGGATCTTTTCTTTGGGTTCAACACAAAGTTCATCATAGTTCAACACAAGCTTGGGGGGGGGAGGAACATTTGTTCACCCTCCCACCTGTGGAGAGGACAAGGAAGAATGATTTTAAATTATGGGGAGAAACTACATTTAGGCACAACAACAGGAAAAATTTCCCTAACCATAAAATGTAATGAAAGAAAGGAGCAGATTAATCCTATTACAAGACGACAAAGCAACAGGAGTGTGGGATCTGTCCCGTAGGATTCCACGTGATTCAGTCTTTATGTTCATGCTGCTTTACTAGTGTGCAAAACTTTTGAAAGAGCTTGTTCAAATCTTTGGAGCTGGGTGTAAACACACCTCTGTAAAGAGCTTAAGGGCATTATTACACTAAGCACCAGCTTGGGGGGGAGGGTATCCCAAACCCCAAAACTATGTGTCACTGAAGGAAGAAAGAGGGGACAGTGGACTTAATTTTGAGCATGACAAGGGACTGAAGGGATCACAGCGGCAGCATCATGCAGACATGCAGCTACTGAGGACCTCAGCTCACATTACAAAATCCTTTTGTCTCCCACGTGTCTGTCCTGCCCTGACAAATAAATATGCTCAGAACTTCATTCAAAGGCACACACAAACCCAATTCAGATCGGGGCCAAGGCACACAGAGAGAAGCGGCTTAGGTCTTCCCCCACCAGATTTTTTACTAACTTGGGGGGGGCACTGTTTGCCCCCTTGGAGAAACTTACATGTAGTCCATCAGTGTGCATCAGTTTTACTACTAGGGCCATTTTGGATCATTAAAGTGACATGGAGAATACCACGGTCCAATCCATATTGCATCTGTGTGCACCTGGGAGTTAAACTCTGGACACAGAACTCCCAGACCATGCTTGGTTAACAGGACTGGGGTGGACTTGCAGGGGACACAAGGAATTTGTAACATGCAATCAGGGAGTAGATCGGAATGGCTAGAGAGCCCAGGTGCCAGCAAGTAACTTTATCACCCAACACTAGTTTCCAGTAACCACTCAGAAGCTGCACATCTGAACTTTCACATGTGATTCCCTGTGCAGCTAGGGATACAAGCATGTGAATCAGTGTTTCCGTATGCATTTAGTTGCAGCTAGATTGGAGTGACTGTCTAAGCCAAGAAAATGCCTGATATTCACAGATACTTTTCTCAGTTTCTCTCTTGCTACTTACTGTCGTAATTGTTATTTAAAGTTCCTATTCTAGGATGGTCTTTACACCACTGCACTTCTCTAGGTTTTTGTTTTGTAGCTGCTTTGTCATTTCTCCAAACATTGATATTAAAAATTAAATTGATCAAAAACAAATGCCCGGGTCCAACGAGCCACAGATGGAACATGTTCACAGAATGGACTTCCTATCTCCTCTTCCCTGCATCCTTTCCCCAAAACTGCTCCTGAAATTCAGAGGACTCTTGGGAACAGAATGGGGTGTTATGCAACTGGGGGGTGGGCTGCAATTTGAGTGGAAGAGTGGAAGTAAACCCCCCACCCTCCTGCATGAGCTCATCGGAGGCAATTTTTGCCAGCTCCTTTCTCACTGCGCCCCTTCAGGACACATGCCAATGTGTTTCTGAGGGAACCTGGATTCCCAGGAGCAGTTTCTCAGGAGGGCACAAGAGGAAAGGGAGAAATTAGTTCCATGAACTTTTTCTATTCACAGCTCATGGGACCCAAATTCTACTCACAGCTCACTGGACCCAATCCAAAGTTTTCACTTTGCCTTTGGGGACAAGGTACTCAAGGTGGCTAATATCTAAAAGTTTTAAAACAAGCACCCAAAATCATATTGAGACAATAATTCTAGCTTTAAAAAAATAAGAATAATAAAAGTATACTTATTCCTCTCTTGGCTGGTAGGAAACAGCTTTTCATTTCACACAAGAAAGGGCAAAAGTCAAGAAGGGAGCCCCTAACCAGCACCCCTTCCCCAGCCAACTGCAGTCTACATCTGCCTGTGAACTTCAGTACTGCAAGATGCTCAGCAGCCCAGAACTAGTAGATTAGTCATACCATGGCAAATAACTTCATGTTCAACAATAAAGCTATTCATATTTCCCCTTCTGGAAAGAATGTACACTCTTTTTTCTTTTCATTTCACAGGAATAGTTAAACCTAAATTTAAAATAAAATAAATCCACCCCTACGGGAATATTGCAAATGAAAACATGACATGTTCATTGCAAATTAGCAGGACAAATTGCTAGCCTCCAAATTGGAGACTAATTGGCGAGATAAATATAGGCTGTGGCTTTCAGACAGAGAAGGCTTCCTGTTCTAGTTCTGTAGTTTCAGGAGTATAAAGTTTCCGAGTCCAGAGCAAGGCAAAAAGGCCTCGTTGGCTGTTCCTTTGCTTTATGAGGACTGCATGAATATAACCAAGTAAAGAATTCAGCCTCCAAGTTGAGTCTGAGTTCTCTTGCTCCCAAGCCTTCTTTAGTGGTCCACAGGCCTTAAAAAATTAACTTCATCTCAGTCAACAATCTTCACTCACTGGAAAGATGACATTTATGCTCTACAAGGGGTATCCAACCAGCCCATGCACCAAATGCTACTTACCCTGATGTTACCAGACACCACCATGTAGTGGTTGCAGTCTCACACGGGGATCCAAGGAAACCAGGGTTCAAGTCCCCACTTTGCTATGAAGCCTGTTGGGTGATCTCAGGGCCGTCACTCTCTCAGCCTAACTTTTATGTCATGGGGTTGTTGTGAGAAGAAAACGAGGAAGAGGAAACCACGGATATTCTCTGACCTCTTTGGATGAAAACACCTCAAGGCTCCTTGTGACACTGTCTCTCCAAAGAGCTGCCAATCTAGCACCTCTCCGTCTTCCTTCTTGATGTTATCTTCTCCCCCCTGTCTGTTTATATTCTGCCATCTTTATGATTCTGCAGGAAAACCACTGACTTGCCCTTGCCTGTTCTCCCCCAACAACCAGGGCCATGACATTTCCCTTCAGCAAGCTTCCACTCCTAAGTGAAGCAGGCCTTGCCTTGGATGGCTGGTGGCTACTGGGTGTACTCCAACAGCTTGATTGGGTGTCAGCAGAGATGGTCTGGGAACTTGGGTGTAGCCAGAGACTTTTCCGACTGTCTGGCAGCAAGGAGCCCTGTGGGGTGGGGGCTCAAAAGCTGTATCATTAATCTTGCAGGGATGGTGCTGTTTTGCACACTATCCCATACAGGGATGCATGCCTGCTTCCCCACTTGTCACTGAATGGTTATCACAAATACACCTGCCATGCTCTCTCCTTGTAATGAAAATGCAGAAAGCTACTGCCTTAAACTTCTGACCACTCGAGGAATGGGAAATGCATAGCATTTTAAGTTTCCGCAGGACTCTGACTGAGACCACAAGACCAGGTCGCATATGTGCTTGCATGGATGGAATTAAACTGAAGGCTGAACTCAAAGTAGATGAGGAATATTCAGGGACAAACTGGATTGGGTTGTGGTGGGTGAAGGATGGGAACCCCTTAGGGCCGCCAGCCTCCACGTGGGGCCTGGAGAGCTCCCAGATTATAATTGATCTCTAGGCTACCAAGATGAATCCCCCCCCCGAGAAAATAGCTGCTTGGAAGATGGACTCTGTCACATCAAACTTGCTAAGGTCCTTCCCTAAACCCGTCCTCCACCCAGGCTCTACCTCCACAATTTCCAGAAATTTCCCAACCTGGAGTTGGCAAACCTCGAATCCCTGTGTATTCATCATTCTATCCACCCATTCTCTAAAGCAGGGCTTCTGTGTTTGTTTTTTTTAAACCCAACCCCAGTGCTCACGGATGCGGGAAGCGAAATTCTAACCCCATCCCCACATGTGACCTCACTGTTCCCCCTCGCTTTCAGCACTTTTATTCCACTCTATCTAAATTATATTAGAATGGGGCTGGAAGGAAAGTGTTGAAAGCTATGGAATACCGTGAAGTAAGATGGGAGAAGAGTGCAGGGGTTAACGTTCCTTGCCCAGACTCTTTGTTCTTGTTTTTAAAACCTACACCACCTACCCACCAGTGGTTTAGAAGCGAAAGGGGGACTCATGTATAAATACATTTGCACTTCCCCAACTCCACCAGGACACGACTAGATCAGTCCTCTAGTTTTGGTGTTGCAGGGGAGAATACAGACAAAGGTAATTGCCAGGAAACATCTCAGTGCAACAGAGAGAAGAGCAGAAGCAAATGCAACTGACCAGGGCTATTTTTGGGCAGGAACGCACAGGAATGGAGTTCCGGCTGGCTCCTGAGTTGGCCACACACAGGAGGAACTCATTAGCATAATAGGCCACACCCAATAGCAGAAACTCATTAGGATTGGCTACATTAGGAGTGTGTGGCCTAACATGCAAAGGATTTCCTGCTACAAAAAAAGGCCCTGGGTGTTGACAACAAACAAGGTAAACAGAATAAGAAGGGAAAGGTGGGTGTGGCTGGATGACCACACTTCTGGTAACACGGGGGTGCAGCCTAATGTGGTAATGAGTTGTGCTATTGGGTGTGGCCTATTATGCTAATGAGTTCCTGCTGGGCTTTTTCTACAAAAAGAGCCCTGCAACTAACTAAAAAAAAACACCTTTGCTACCTCTCTGCCAAAACAAGGCACGCAAGGCTACTTATGTAAATTCGTGAACAATGAAAAAAGAAAAACAGCAGCCGATAAAACCAGTTTTAGAGAAGCATAACTGTCCAAAGGAAACATTCAGAACCAAAAGCAGCTGCTGAAACATAACACAATCTAAGCAGCAGAGCAATTCTTCAGGTCAAAGGAGCTGTCTAACACACACACACACAGAGGCTGCGCTTTCTGTACTTCTAGAATTAACTGCTAATTGTTAGCAAACACCTCTTGAAACAGCATGTGCTAAATGTACACATCGGCTGTAACAGAACATTTTTGACAGAGAACAAATTGAAAGGAGACAAGTGATTCAAATGCAGTGACAGTAACTGCACAGGAACAACCCTGCCAGGCATAAAAGGACTTGGGCAGATGGATAGGAAGAGAAGGAGGCCAATCTAGGCTTCAGGAATGTCATGGCTTAGGAAACACAAAATCAGGAAAACACATTTTTATTTTGGTCTCCTCCAGAAAGTGTCCTGGCACTTTGCGATGCTAGATTAAACCAAGTCATGCAGCACTGTTTGATGATTTGGGAACAAGCAGCTTTTGGAAGGAGAAATATTTTCAAATCGATGAGAAAACATGACCCAGTTCTCACAGTTCCATCAGTGTCAGTTTGAATTAGTTGGGCTTTGGTGAAATTATTCTACATTTGGGCAGGTGCGATTGGAAGGGAGGCCCTACCTATGCGATTCTGAGGATCAGTTTGTTGGATTCAAACAATCTGGATGCTAGCATCGTTCTTTCCTTCCCTGTGAAGGATGTGTTTTCAGCATTTCTGGGCAAAGGGATAGGAGCATCTGGATTGGGGAATGTGGGGGAAATGGCATGCTTCTGTAAATTAAGATAGATTTGCAGATAAAAAGGATATGTTCTCTTACCAAACATGCACTTTTATTTATTTCCATATGAGATCAAGAGAAAGACTGAATTTTACTAGTGGGATAAAGCCCTGTTAGGCTAGGTGGCCATTATCTACTGAGCCAAAGCCGCCACGGTAGGCAACTTTAGGTCTCCTTCAACTTCAGCTTCAAGCTGAACATTCCACTTCTTCTCCATGGCTTCTTATAGGCTTAACAGCGTCCTGTATTTGCAGCCACTGAAGGCAAGCTACTGGACTAGTTAAACTCTCGGTATGAATCTTTACATTGGCACTCTAAAGCACTGAGGCAGCCCAGCTGTTAATTAGTGGAGTTGGAATTTGTCAGTTTAGCCAAACTAGGATCAGTTTCTTAAGAAAAGAAACGCTGCGGTGTAGGGATCAACTTCTTTCACTAAAACTCCTTCTCTGGGTCTTAACACAATACACATGCCCTCTGTTTTGATGGGAGAAAGGCAGGTCCAGGCTTAAGGGCAGATCACAGTGCAATCCTACCAGCACTTTCCTGGGAGTACATGGGATAGACCTGAATAGGATTCTGAGTCGACTTGCTTAGCGTCGCTCTCTCACTTCATTGGTGCCAACCATGCAAGCGGATCTTCATAGAAAGAGCAAGTCCCGAGGCACACAGCTCATTCTTACCTGCACCAGAGTCATTTGGGAGCCAAGGGCCAGCAAGATCTTCTCTGTCTTAGTGGGGTACGGGTTGTCTCTGTGCTTGTACAGCCATTGCTTCAACGGCCGTGCCATGTCCTGCAAAGCCTGGCGCTTGTGCCTCACCTTCCCACTGTTCTGACGGGTGCTGTAGAGCAAGGAGGGAAAGATCAACAAGAGGGTAGGTTGAGAGAACCGGCTGGTCAACAGTTGACTGGAGAGGGACTCATACCTTTCCACCCTATCACCAAAAGCCACAGGGCAAGAACCTTGTGCGCTCAAAATAAAGTCTAAATCCAGGCCAAGTGCTACAGAATCCACCCAAGGAATGGTGGAACTGGACTCCAGAAACTCATAATGGAGATTATCGTGGTGTGGTTTTAGAGAAGAGAGAGGAAGAAGAGATTGGATTTGTACCCCACCCTTTACTACCCGAAGGAGTCTCAGGGTGTCTTACAATCTCCTTTCCCTTCCCCTCCCCACAACAGACACCCTGTGAGGTAGGTGGGGCTGAAAGAGCTCTCTCGAGAACTGCCCTTGAGAGAACAGCTCTGAAAGAACTTATGACTGACCCAAGATCACACCAGCAGCTGCATGTGGAGGAGTGGGGAATCAGACCCGGTTCTCTCAGATTAGAGTCCGCACTCTTAACCACTACACCAAACTGGCACATATTCCCTGTCCTGAATAGTAGGCATACATCTCTATAGGGAAAAAGATAACAGGTTTCTTTCATCCCCCAAAACTGAAGGCATGTTGGACTGCATAGAGCAACAAGCTGCTGTTATCTAGAGACACACCGTTCGTGCTCCACCCAAGGTTTTAAACCTATATTGTACAAGGAAAATAAAGAGTGTGGAACATATATGTGATACATAAGAAGGCTGCATCTACCCACTGAGGATTCTCTGTTTCCCTGTTATTGCCACCATGAATGCAAAGGCATTCATGCAAGCTGGCAAGGGAGCGCTCATACAGAAGCACCCACCATTTCCCCTGCATTTTCCCCTGCGCATCACAAGGCCTGGCAAAAAAGTAATAAATCAGTAACTGCTAGGCTGCTACAGTGCAATAATGTCATTATGATCAATTGCTGCAATATTTATTTATTTATTTATTTTATTTTATTTTTGGGATTTATATCCCGCCCTACCCAAGCGGCTCAGGACGGCTAACAGGCAGCAATGCCGGATTAAAAGTAAAATACAATAAAACATACAGTAAAACATTATTGCATACAATAAAAAGGTGCTCTACGAATCTCTAAGACTCCCCAAGATGTATGATATCCCACACTGGCAGCCAGCGATATTAATATTTCCCCATCTCTGCCGGGTGACATCTACCCCCCTCCCCACTCAATGATAGGGGTAGATGATAAGATTGTATCACGGTGGTGGAATAGTGGCGGCGGCAAACAATATAGTAGCTCCTCTGAATCCCGTTTATATTTTTAAGTCTTCCGCTCTTTTCATTGTATTTCCACAAGATAAAAGTCTAAAGGCTTCCTTTTTAAGAACAGGAATGCTGGGAATTCAGATGACCTAATCAACTGTGGAAACAGATCATTGTCATGTTACTGCCCTTGAGCTATCTAGCAATTACGAATTTTTTTTAAAGCCTGGGGTGGCCACAGGGGGCTAAGGCAAGGGAAATGGCACCGATGTGGGCAGGACCTTTAAAAAAAAAAAACAAGGACCTTTCCACCCACAGAGTGTGCAAATGCACTTTGGCTGTGACCTTTCCAAATAGACTGTCTCAAACCAGGGAATTCTGGAAAGTGGGGACAATGTCATGTTGGTGCTCCAAAAACAAAATTCCAGTTTGAATGCCGAATCAAAGCGAAACCTTCACATGAAAGCAACCAAAGTCAGATCATTGTTTCTTCGGTCTCAATGCAGTTTGCTCTGGCTGCCAGTAGCTCTCCTCAGTGCTGGGCAGAGGAAAGTCCTTCCCCAAGAACTGCTATTGGAGATCCCAGGGATTAAAACTGGGACCATCTTCTGTAAAACATGTCCTCTACCACTGACCAATAGCTTCAAAGAACAAAAAGCAACCTTACATAAGAATGCAATGTTCCTTGTTTTATTCTCTTTCTCTCTTGCTCCCTGCCGTTCAATCCAATCTCACCTTCATTCAGTTGGAAATATGAAAACACAGATATGCATATGTAACATTATAGCCATGTGTCAGAAAATTATAATAAATATCATTATGGATATCTATATGGTTTCTAGTATATCTTCATGAACCATGTTCTGTGAATTAGGAAAGATGTAAGTCATGATGTAAAATCTGTGCATACGTATCACGCATACATGCTAAGGTGATTTAATTTTGAGTTTAACACATCTGCCATTTTAGCAATCAGATAAAGGAGAGAACCAGCTCAGTGAAATGGTTAAATTGCTGGACTGGGATCTGGGAAACCCGGATTCAATCCGCACTCTGCCATAGAAGCCTGCTGCTCACAAGGCTGCTATTGTTAATAAAAACTGGAGAAGGACCCCACTGAACACAGTTAGACATACTTGCAAGCAACAATGCACACGATGACAGTGAACGTCATTTTGTTGGGTCCTAAGTCCTACTGAGGAGCTGGGGGAGCTCAAGTGGTTAAGATGCTGAGCTGCAGGCTGTGGAAGGTCAGTAGTTCAGCAGTTCGAGACCCGAGTGTGCCGCATGACGGAGTGAGCTCCCGTCTCTAGTTCCAGCTCCTGCCAACCTAGCAGTTTGGAAGCAAGAAATTGCAAGTAGATAAATAGGTACCACTTCAGTGGGAAGGTAACAGCGTTCCGTGCACCTTGGTGTTTAGTCATGCCGGCCACATGACCACGGAAACGTCTTCGGACAGCGCTGGCTCTTCGGCTTTGAAACGGAGATGAGCACCGCAACCCTAGAGTCGGATTTGACTGGCTTTCGAGCAAGGGAACCTTTACCTTTATGTCCTACTGAAGGAACAAGCTTGACTAATCAGTCCTGTTGTTTAGTCCTGTCCAGACTGATCGACTAGAGCTCAGAGCCCTAATCCAACTGTAGTTAGTTACTGTTATTATTCAGGAGGGTATTTCTACACAGAGGATATGGCTGTACTGTATGTAACAAAATGGTTCAGAATGACACTTGCGTAAAGAGTTCTGGACTGTGGTCTATACTACGGAGTATATTTCCTACTGTCTGTTGTTGTAAGTTGGACCCTATCATGTAATTTTAGCATCCTTGAACACTTAATATTAATACTTATGTTTTGCCCCAGTTCTGTTTGTATTTCTGATTCATTCCAGATTCCTACAATCCAAATCCTATTGCACTGTCTATTGTATTTCCCATCCTTTTGATTGTATTGACTTTGTGTAATCCACCTTGAGTCCTGGTAAGAAAGGCAGGCTATAAAAATATAAATAAATAAAAAAGATTACCAATAAATGCCCCAATATATTGGCATCGCTGTACAGTAACACCAACAAGATCTCTCTAAACAAAACAGAAAGGAATAGTTGAAAAGCCTGTATGCATATCCTTTAAAATGGGATTTGTGAATTGCAGGCTGTTGGTCGGTGCATGTGGAAGTGCAAACTACTATTTTAGGTTCTGCAGCAAAATGTAACTCACTCCATCTCTCTCTAGGCTGCATGGAATCTACTCCAACTAACCATTCCGACATCAATGAACATCTACAGAACATCAAAACAACACTGCCAAATAGCAAACAAACAAACAAAACTCTTGCCCAAAGCTTGAGGACACAACACAAAGAGCCTGCCTAGTCGTAGCTGTGTACTCTGAGAGCCTGAGCTGTACAGCAGTTTGGAAGGGTGTACATAGCCTTTCAATTTCTTCTGGAAATAAAGAGCCTTCTCTGAACAGGGGAGCTGCTGAAACACGGCCTGACCTTGGAATGGGGATTTTCTTTTTTTCTTTTTTGAAAGAGCAGACAAAACAGCATTTGCTAACAGAAAACATTTGGTGCTCAGCATAACTCTTCAGCCCCTGTTCATGTCAGACAGGCTGGCTGACATGCAGCGGTATTCCCTAGTGAGCAATCCTGATCCTGCAAAGCTGCTCAGATGGGTCTGCAACCAGAGGGAAGGAGTCCGGAACAGCTGCTGAATGCCACACACATAGACTCTTCTACTCTGCCATTGCAAAAGATGTTTCAAGTTGACATCATGTGGTATAAGACCACCTGTACTATTCCGGTCAGGAGTTCCTGCCCTGGTACATCAGGAAGTAGCTCCGCGGCTACAGAGTCTGTCACACTACCAGAGGCGAGGAAAAAGAACCAGACACATGCAGATAGTTTACCTCCCATAATTAGATTACCCCTGGTTTAATTGAATTCACCCCCTGCTACTCCTTCAAGAACCTCAGAGCAGCCTGTGGCTTAAGTATGGTTCTCAGGCAATTTCTCAGGTAGACAGTTTCCCATCTAGATAAATCCTCTCAGCTTTAGCTGTTCAATTAAATCATGTACCATCCAACCAATGTTCCCTCTAATCCCCCCCCCCCCGCTGAGCGGAGCAGTTCATATGCTGAGTAGAATAAAATGGCTGAAATCTTAAAACGGGCAGTGGGCAGTGCAAGACCCTGAGTGGCTCCAGACTGCTGCTGGGCGGGGCTTCCTGTGTCACTGAGCGGCTGCTCACATGCATAGCTTAGAGGGAACAGTGCGATCCAGCTACTCTCTAGGGCAGAGTTGTTCAGATCCAGTACTTCCAGTCATCACAGAATGTTGCATCACTAGTAAAATTCCAACTATTCTGTGCTTGGCAGAATTTTAGCAATATTTCATCTATACCTATGTGGTAGACCCAACAATGCAGTTGACCCAAGCCGGGATCCCACAGAACCTTGGGATTGAGGGAGCAAGGCTGCCGTAAGGTCAGCTTTAACACAGAGCCATTGCAAACAGGACCCAGGTAAAGAAATATTGTTCTGTGCTCACAGAATGCCTTGACGGGTACCCTGCAATGAATCTGCTCACACAGGGACTCAGACTTCCCAAGAAAGGGTAAAGAGACTCCTGTAACAAAGCAATCGCTGCGGCACTTGCGAATTGCAGAAGAAAAGTTCCAAATAGTTGCTCTGCCACAAACTGTCCCTGTGGATATTCCCCCACCCCCCCAGCCATCTGCAAATAATATCATACCAATTGTTTGAGCAAGACTCTTTAGACAGGATAGGAGGATCCAACATCTTGTTTTGTGTCAAGCAGTCTGAACACTTGACTATTCAAAATGTTTCAGCCAATCGCATTCCACTCCTCCTCACCAGCACTCCAGGCCTCACATCTGCTTATGGTCTGGTGGCCACGAGAGCACCACCCTTCTGCATGTGTCAGGAATTTACACATCAAAATCCAAGCCACCCTCTGAAATGGAGTTATTTCAGCTCTCCGCTAAGACTCACAAAATAGGTGCTGCAATTTTGTTTGGGGTTGTTTGGGGTTTTTTGCCCAGTTAATGTGTGATAATATAAAATTCTTCACCTCATGGAGTAAACCCCTTCAGTGCTTGATGCGGAACTTGTTGGATTCTCTGGACTTGGTACTGCCAGGGAACCACAGAAAAATAGCAGAGTGCTCAAAGGCTTTAAGACAGCCGAGCTTGAGGCTAGGTGTGGCAACAGACTTACAAAGTCACACCGAGGCAGTAGTCGGTTCTAAAACAAATAAGTAGCTTTTATTAGAGGAAATACATGCTTGAGAGTGCAGGTTAGAGATAAATACAGATTACCTATTCTAACTAACTAGATCGTGTTGGATGCTAGACGGAGATCAAACACCTTCTTTGTGTGCATGAGAGAGAGAAGAGAGGGTGAGAGCGGAAGAAGAGGAAATTGCCCCTAAGAGTAGCATTCTACTTCAAAGGAAAGGATCAGATAGCAGGAAGGAAAGGATGCCCCGTGTGTCCTGACCTCTCTATCTGTCTAAACTCTTTGGTGCCATCTTCTCAAGTTTGAGATAGGAGACAGAGCCAAGTCCTCCACTTCTAACAGAACTCTGTATATATAGAATGATTTTACATTTTTATACCAGCTGAAGTCTGCCCAATTAATGATAACTGAACAGCCTACTTGCATCTTTAGGTGTGTGCTGGTTCATCATATACATCCTGTCTTGTGGATATGCACACCCACCTAGTTCTAGGAACATTTTACTTAGAAGTCTCACCATGTTGACTGACACTTGCTTCCATGTATGTATGTATAGAAGAGGAGCTGTGGTGCCCTGGATAGCTACAAGCACAAGAATGCCATGCAATCCAATTAAAAGCAGGGGGAAACCCATGCAACACAAGCTCTGTCTCAGTGGCTGAGATGGAAAATCTAGATATAGACACCCTGAAGTGCTCACACATTGACATGGGGCCCAGTCCACCTGGAAGTCTGCCTGCAATCAAATAAAAATGCCTGCTGTGAAAGCAGTTTGAGAGCTCAGTTCTCGTGCATAGCCTATTTCAATGGGGCTTGTACATACAAGCTCTCAGATGATAGACATCCCATGCATCTATTTCTCGTGCCTCACGGCATACAAAATTCATCTCATAGAATCTCAGAGTTGGAAGGGGCCATACAGGCCATCTAGTCCAACCCACTGCTCAGGGCAGGATCAGCCTAGAGCATCCCTGACAAGTGTTTGTCCAGCAGCTGTTTAAAGACTGCCAGTGAGACGGAGCTCACCACCTCCCTAGACAGCTGATTCCACTGTTGCACAATTCCTACTGTAAAAAAGTTTTTCCTAAGATCCAACCGGTACCTTCCCACCCCTTAATTTAAAGCCATTATGTGCAGTCCTAACCTCTGCTGCCCACAGGAACAGCTCCCTGCCCTCCTCTAAGTGACAGCCCTTCAAATACTTAAAGAGAGCAATCATGTCCCCCTCAGCCTCCTCTTCTCCAGACTGAACATTCTCAAGTCCCTCAGCCTTTCCTCATAGGGCTTGGTCTCCAGGCCCCCTGATCATCCTCGTCGCTCTCCTCTGCACCCGCTCCATTCTGTCCACATCCTTTTTAAAGTGAGGCCTCCAGAACTGCACACTCCAGAATTGCACACTCCAGGTGCAGCCTGACCAATGTAGTGTACAGCGGGACTATGACATCTTGTTATCTGGATGTTATCTCACCCTCCCTCGGGTAGGACCAGCTCTGTCCTGGCATTGTAATGCTCTGCTATAAAAGAATGTGAGCTGGAATTGTAATACCACATTTTTGCAGAAGGTGCTGCTCTCGGGCTGCATCTGCTGCTGTTTCTATTCCCCCCCCCCCCCCCCCCACACACACACCTTTATTTTAGCTTCTTGGGCTTTTTGCAGGCTTGTATTTTATTTGAAATCTGAATCTGCCTGAATCAGCTGGTAATAACATCTTGATGAAACACAATCACTGTCTTGCCAACCAGAGATGCTATTAGAAGTATGAGCTGACGCTATTTTTTAAAACTGGCAATTTGACAATAAAAATACATTTTCAGGTTTTTACATTTGGGGCATCTCTGAAGCACCTTGCCATGGCTCCATCAGTCGAGAGGTACAGCCTGGGGCTACGCATGGTAGTTTAGTCCAAGTTTGTTCAATAATAGGCGTTATTTTCCAATAGGCATATGGGGGACCTGTGGTTCTAACTCTGCTGAATGGGCTGTGTGCACCGCCCCCTTCCTGCCTGCCTAGTTCTAAACACGCCGTTTAGTCCAAGTTTGTTCAATAATAGGCATTATTTTCCAATAGGCATATGCGGGACCTGTGGTTCTAACTCTGCTGAATGAGCTGTGTGCCCCGACCCTTCCTTCCTGCCTAGTTCTAAACACCGCAAACCAAGTTCTTTTGAGTATATAATTTAGCATAGATTAATAAGAGCTATAAAGTATTTTGATATACAATTAACAGTAAGCACATTTTAATGGATTTGCAATCACACTGAATAATGTAGACATTCAATTCCATTTAAAAATATCTGAATTATCACCTCCTGCTTTCAAACTGTCAGCATGTCCTTAATCCAAGGGATTCTGCACTGTTTACATAGCCAATTTTCATACATTGTCTACATATCTCTTGGCCTTTCTCACATGTAAGTATCTGCCAGTACTTTTAAGACAATCGGTTCTCGCAGATCAGTTTTTAATCTACCCTTTTTTCCAGATAGCTGTCCATCTCTCTCTCACACACACACACATACACACACATCCTTTCTCTACAATAAGGAGCAGGTTTCAGATCTAGCAGCCAGCTGTGACACACACAGAGTATTGACTGAAATTAGCTTCAGTACCTGCATCACTGAAATTCTCTGCTTGGGGCACATCATGAGATTTGGCTTGCTGAGTATTACATGCTTAAGGCTGAAAAGTTAAAGGAGCTAAAGTGCTAAGCTTTATAAAGCTGCAACTTTTTTAATTTTGAAGCTACTGCGTTAGGCAAGAGCGGACCCCACCACCAGTACCCGCAGCTCCAAGGGTAGCAGTGCCCCCCCACACACACACACACTCAGAGAGAGAAGCCCCCTGGGCGGCGACTCCTACCCGGTCCTGCGGTGCCGAAGGCTGAGGTTGTCCTTCATGGAGGGGCTGTCGGGCATGAGCACCTCCGGGTGGGGCGAGACCTCGAGGACCCCTGCGTAGGGCCGGCTGCCGCTGCGCTCCCTCTCCGTGGCGCCTTCCTCGAAGAGCACTTGGCCGCTGAGCTTGTTGAAGACGATGGTGTTCATGGTGCGGCCGGCCGGGAGGGAGCTTCAGGCGAGGGCGGCCCGGCGGAGGCGCGGGCCAGACGGCTGGGCGGGCGGGAGAGCGCGCCTCTGGGACGCCCCGACAGCGGCTGCAAAGGGAAGGCAAGCGGCAGGTTGGTTAACCCAGGCAGGCAGGCAGGCAGGCAGGCAGGCAGGCAGGCAGGCGAACCGCTCCTAGCCCAGCCCGGCCGCGGGCCGCAGCTGCTGCTCTCCCCGCTGCTGCCGCTGCCGCTACTAGGGTTGCACTGAGCCAGGGCGAGCTGCTGGGGAGGGAGGGGGAGCGCGGGGGGGAGACACAAGAGGCGCGCCAGCCGCAGGTCTTCCGGGCTGGGGGGGACGGCCTCGATCCCGCGCGAGTTTACAGGAAAGAAAGCCCCCTCCCCCCCCCCGCCCGAGCTCCAAGCGCTTGACTAGTCTAGGAGGGTTCGGAGACCAGACCACCAGTGCGGCTGGCTGACATCGGGGCTGCACGCAGGTGGGGGGGGGGGGGGGGGGGGGGGGTG